GCACTGCAGGACTTGCATTTCCTGGAGGGAAAGATGATCGTGACTTTAGGGGCCATTTATGTTCACCTGCAACCTGAGAAGTTTCCTCAAGTGTTCTTTATGTCTCCAAGTTTGTGGTTTAATTTCGAGTGTATAATTCAAGTCACAAGATTTTTTTTAACAGACTTGACTCGATCCATAGCGATGGCAATCACCTGTTTAATTAGTTATCTGTTCATTAAAACAACCACAAGCAACACCGCAACTAAAGAACAGTCACAACATCTCCAAAGAAGTGTTTATTCTTTTAAATGAGAAGAATGAGAAGGGGATACAAAGACCAGAGAGTTATTAAGCACATAACTATTGACTAAATGTCAGGGAGCGTTCTTGCGGATGGGGGCAATGGAAAAAAATGAATAAAAATCCCTGCCCTCATGGAATTCTCATCTGAAGGACCACAGCTATCAATTATTGCGGGCTTGTTAATAGCAGGCATTGTTCTAAGCAGTTTATGTGCATTGACTCATTCACTTCTTTTAACATCTCTGTGTGGTAGGTACTATTATTAGACTTATTTTGTTTTACAGATTAGGAAACTGAGGTACAGAGCGGTAAAGTAATCACCAAAGGTTCCTAGTACTTGAAAGGGCCAGGATTCGAACCTTCTGGGATTTGAACATGATAGGTACTCTGGTTCCAGAGTGTCTGGTCTTAATAACTACACCCTGTGGTGGCTTCTATGCACTTGGATATGTCCAAGTGGAATCATTAAGTAGTCTGACCTAGTCAAAGACAGGATTTCTGGGAAAATCAGCCTATCAGTGACTGAAACTTAGTTCTTCAGGTAGCTGACCTCTTTCATTTGTCACTGTTTTTGATGGGTTGGTATCTCTGCTTTCCTAAACCATCTTTTTATGACCTTAGATCAATGGCTTTCCAGTGTCCCCCAAGAGCAAAAGATTTACATTGCCCAGGGAGACCACTGATTACTTTATTTCCATATTTTGGGGGTTTTGTGTAAGAGTCCATGTGAAGAAAAATTCCTGGTGTAAAAACTTGAAAATCGAATTGCTTGAAGTTGTTATGGGGATACTGGTCACTGGTAAGTGTGGTAAACACGGCACTCTCAGGAGTTGAGACTTGAGTGGCTCTTTGTTCTCACCCTCAGTGCATTCAGAGGTACATTTTTTGGTTAGTGTGTCTTTAAGGGAGTCAATGAATCCCGCTGTGATCCTGACCCACCCTGGCCAGGCACCTGTGGTTGCTATTCTCTTCTGGGACTGTCTCTTTTTCTCTGTAATGTATGGGTCTACTTTTTCACTCTCTTGCTAATATTCTCAGGTGGCCTGACTCTTCTAGACTTCTGCCCTAGGACACTTTCCTCTCCTTGTTTCTCTTTTATTTTTGTTTTTCCTTTTGAAATTTTCCCTTCTCTTTCCCTCTCCCACAATTTTCTCCTTCGGGGCAAGTAGATTTGGCGTTTTAGCCATTTCTAACCAATGATGGGGCACATCCTGTCATAAGTTGTTTTCTGAAAATTTGTCATCCATGGTTTTGGAGACGTTGCAGTTACTTTTGGGATAATAATTTTCTCAGAGGGTTGAAGCTGCCTGGTGTTAACCTGACACATACTGGAGTTATTATTGTGCAGGGTTCAACATTAAAGTAAACCCAGACTCTGTAAGTACAGAAAACATTGACATCTTCCTGGCCAGAGAGATCTTTTGTGAGAAGATTGACCTCAAGATAAGTCTATGTGAATAAAAGAAATAATGTAGTGAAAAGAAAAGTGGTTGTATTAATACAAAATGAATGTATTATTATTCAGAAGGATAGAATATTATATCAGTCTAAAAACTGGAAGGATAGAGATCAATTTGTTAGCATTTATAACCTTGCGGGGGATGAGATTAGAAGGGCAGAGCGGGAGAAATGAAATTCTTTCTTTACAGGCCTGGGCATTGTTTGAGTTATTATAATGAGCATGAATTCCTGTTGTAATTTAATGGCTCCCCTCAACATATTTAAAATGGACAGCATTGTGCTGTGACTAGAAGTGAAGCCTCTCCTACCTCTTCATGGTTCTTCTTGAGATATGTCAGCTCTTCACTCAGGGATTCGTACTGCAGCTCCTGGTCGGTCCTGCAGAGCGTCAGCTCATCCAAGACTCGCCGTAGCCCATTGATGTCTGCCTCTGTATTTTGGTGAAGAGCTAGCTCATTTTCATACCTTGGGAGGCATTAAATGAATATCAGCACAAGTGAGACTACCTCAAGAGATGGAAAAATAAAACCTCAACTGAAAGTTAGACATTGAATCAGGATTCTAGATATCGTAAAAATACACCAGAGAAAGCCCTGCTCCACTCCTCTCACCCAATTCTGTGCAGGATAGTCTGCAGATATTTAGTCACACAAATTCTGATCCCAGTTAAATAAAAGTATATCTAATTAGAATTTTATCTTAATATTTTTACTTAGTCAACAAATATTTATAAACATCTACTTTATTCTTGGCACTGTTCTAGGCAGGCATAGAAATACAGTGATATTTTGCCCCGACAACCTAATGAACATGTAGAAATTGTGAGTATAGCTGATGGAACTATTATAACATGCTCTGTATCGTATTATAGTATTATAACATGCATTACTTCCTTTAATCTCTTAAGCTATAGTTTATTCTACTTGGGATGAAATTGAAATTGAAAATTTTATTTAACAAGTAAAATAGATAGGAAACCTTTTCTAGAGCATGACTATTTTCTTTCACTTACTTTAGCCGGAAGTCATCAGCAGCCAGCCTGGCGTTATCAATCTGCAGAATGACATTAGCATTGGCAGTAGTGGAGGAGATAATCTAGAAGAAATCAAAAGGGAGAGCACAACAAATAAGTCTGCTTTTATAATTTATTATTTCAGGAAATAAAAAGTGCTACACAATTAAATTTTTGCATAAAAACCTGACTTCCTTAAGTAACAACTAAAATGCTTAAAGTTTAACTTATAAAAATTACAGATATGGTTTCATTTCTTCTCATATACTCATATAACATAGAATATGATACTTTCTTATCAATGAATATATTTTAAAATAAACAATAATGGAATTAGTAACATTTAAGCTATATTGAAATTCAGGAATTAAAGTGACTGTTTTTGACTAATACTAAGAATAATTTATCAAAATAAATAATAAGTAAATACAATAGAAATGACAGGTAGCAGTTATGAAGCATTTCCTATTGTAATTCTATGCCTTTTGTTAGGTGATTTTTAGTTTTAAATACTTTGAAGAGTTCCAAATTTGTGATTTCTTACCTTATTTTTAAGATCTTCGATAGTTAACTGATATCTGCTGTAGTCATGATCAAGCCCACGGCAGGATCCAGGACCATATTTTTCATACCAACTCTTGATTTTTCTCTCTAGTTCAGCATTTGCCTCCTCCAGAGCACGCACGTTATCCAGGTAGGACGCCAGGCGGTCATTAAGATTCTGCATGGTGACCTTCTCATTCCCAGAGAGGAGTCCCCCTTCACTTCCAGCAAAGCCACCACAAGCAGCATTTCCAAGGGCACTGCCAGCGTGGTTCCCACCAGAAACACTGCCCAAGCCCCCTCCCAAAGCATAGGGAAATCCACTTCCGGCAACGGAGCTGCCGCATGCATTGCTGCCTGCAAAGCCTGCACCTCCACTGGGTGGTCTGACAGATCCAGTTCCAGTCCGCAAGCAAATATGCCTGGACCCACTAGAAAATCGGAGAGACATGGTAGTCTGAGAAATGTTCACCTTGTCTGTGGATAGCTGTAACTTAAAAGGAGAACAGAATATTGTGTGCTGATGGTTTCTTTGGGCTTTTATACACAATTATTGGGGGTGTTTCTATTTGAGTTATGCATGCCCAAAGAAAAAATGGCATCATTCAGATTAGCATGAAATTATGCATAATTAGATGATTTAAAAAAATTAATGTCTGACATCCCTGGCTGTTGCTTCAGGGTGTTTATTATCTTGACTATAATAGGGTTCATTCTATACGAAGTTCATTATTTTAACTTCTAATTTTGAGTGAGTAATCCTTTACTTTCATCTAGTCTAGACCCTAGGAATATACCATCATTATGTGACATGGGATATTATGAAGTTTTAAAAGTTAATTAAGACTGTAGTAGGGTATTATCAGCTACAGTAGGGTCTTAATTACCAGAGAGGTATATATAAGGAAACATTAACAACAGAAACACATATTTTATACCACCAGAGCAGGAAAAAAAAGTGTTATTTAAAAAAAACATATGACCCTGGTAGCTTCTCTGGTCTTATTGTGATTATAACATCCATTAATTACCTTGAACAGTAATACAAATATTGACTAATTCCTTTACTTAACACGTACAACTACTATGTGTAGTGCTCAATGTTAAATGCAAAAACGAAGACATGATATTAAATAAATGCAGAGATGAAAAAGATATGGTGACACTCTTTAAGAAATGTATGGTCAGGACTAGACAGGGGCTGGATTATGTTTAGCTTTCTGTGCTAGTCTGAAGAATTTGGAATGAATCTTGAGTAAAACGCAGAGGGCAACATATCAGGTTGAAATGAAAAAAAGAGGTCAATTACGAAGTTAGGACAATGGTCCAGCTAGGAAAGATAAAGGCAGTGGGATGGAAAAAAGAAGAGGTTGGAGGATACGGTCTTTGATTGAATTTGGAGAGGAAGGAAGAAGGGAGAGTTGGGGTGACTCTTAGGTAATTGATCAGGTAACATGCTGGGATCCCATAGTGTTAACTGAGATAGGGAATATAGGAGGAAGATAAGACTGACTTCAGTTTTGCACCAATGGGGCTTGAGGGACTGGTGGAATGTCTCAGATGAAGATGGGTAATAAGCATGTTTATAATAAGAATGTTTAGAATGGTGAGCCCGCGGGTGGGGCCGCTCGGCCCCTCCGCCCACGCTTGGCCGCCGCTGCCTCGGAGCTGCGCCTGGGTTGGCCCGGCTGTCCCCGGGGACTGGCATTTTTTACCACTTGTGAAAACTTTGCTGTAATTCATTTTTCCTCATTCCCGTATTAAGAATTATATCAAATTGAAAAGATATGAATGAAATTCCTAAAAAAAGAAAAAGGAAGACTTTACACCCTTCTCGTTATTCAGATTCCTCTGGAATAAGCAGAATTGCAGATGGATTCAATGGAATTTTTTCTGATCATTGTTATAGTGTCTGTTCTATGAGACAACCAGACTTAAAATATTTTGACAACAAAGATGATTCTGATACAGAGACATCAAATGACTTGCCAAAATTTACAGATGGAATCAAGACCAGAAACAGAAATCAGAATTATCTTGTTCCCGGTCCCGTACTTAGAATTCTAGACGACACTTCCTTTTCTACAGAAAAATGTACTGATATTGAAATCTGTGATGAAGACTGTGACTCACCTGAACCAGTCCACCAGCAAACCCAAGAGGAGAGCCCTATAGAAGTTCACACTGCTGAAGATGTTCCAATCGCCGCAGAAGTGCATGCAATTTCCGAAGATTATGATATAAAGACAGAAAATAATTCCTCGGAGAGTCTCCAAGACCAAACTGAGGAAGAGCCACCAGCTAAACTTTGCAAGATTCTTGAAAAGAGCCAAGCTTCGAATGTGACTGCCTAGCAGAAATGGCCTTTACTGAGAGCTAATAGCAGTGGCCTCTATAAATGTGAACTTTGCGAGTTCAACAGCAAATAATTTTCTGATTTAAAGCAGCATATGATCCTGAAGCATAAGCGTACTGATTCAAATGTGTGTCGAGTATGCAAGGAAAGTTTCTCTACCAACATGCTTCTGACAGAACACGCCAAACTGCGTGAAGAGGATCCCTACATTTGTAAATACTGTGACTATAAGACAGTCATTTTTGAAAACCTCAGCCAGCACATTGCAGACACCCATTTTAGTGATCACCTTTATTGGTGTGAGCAGTGCGATGTGCAGTTCTCCTCGAGCAGTGAACTCTACCTACATTTCCAGGAGCACAGCTGTGATGAACAGTACTTGTGTCAGTTCTGTGAACATGAGACGAATGACCCGGAAGACTTGCATAGCCAAGTGGTAAATGAACATGCTTGTAAATTAATCGAGTTAAGTGACAAGTATAACAATGGAGAACACAGACAGTACAGCCTCTTGAGCAAAATTACCTTTGACATATGTAAAAACTTCTTTGTGTGCCAACTATGTGGTTTTCGGAGTAGACTTCATACAAATGTTAACAGGCATGTTGCTATTGAACATACTAACATTTTTCCTCATGTTTGTGATGACTGTGGGAAAGGCTTTGCAAGTATGCTGGAATATTGCAACCATTTAAATTCACATTTATCTGAAAGGATTTATTTATGTCAATACTGTGAATATTCAACAGGACAAATAGAAGATCTTAAAATTCATCTAGACTTCAAGCATTCGGCTGACTTACCTCATAAATGTAGCGACTGCTTGATGAGGTTTGGAAATGAAAGGGAGTTATTAAGTCACCTTCCGGTCCATGAGACAACTTGATTATTCTCTTTAACTTCATAATGTTAATGTAAAATAATAAATACTTTTTTTGGAAAAAAAAAAAGAATGTTTAGAGTAAGTACATGGAACTGGGAAAAATACCTGACTAGCAATGAGTGAAGGGATTGTCAGAAATCATGGAGGGCCCAGCTCTCATTTGTAATGACATTCAAAAGCCTATTTGGAAGTTATCCTGCTGTAGGAATAGAGAAGATGATGATCAGGCTGATGTGTGTTTTGGGGTTTGAAGACAGGTTCAGAAGAAGGCAAAAGAACCAAAGAAGTTTCTGGTGTTCCTGAGAAGCCAGTTGAAGTGATGGACTGTGTGGTCATATTCAAGGAAGGAAATGGGGCCAGAGGGACAGATTCACTGAGGAAGAAGACAAGGGTTGAGTCACTGGGCATCTTTATGTAGTCACGGAGCACTCAGAGTTTGAACAGGAGATTGAGAGAAGCAAAGAAAGATGGGTGCAAGTTGGACAAAGGAAGCCAGAGTTTATAGAGTTTTAAAGCAGGCACAACCCCAGATCTTGACAAAATTCAGTCAATATCCACGGGGACTGGATTCAACAGTCACTGGGATAAAAGGTCAGAAGTGGACTGACCTGAAAGTCACTGGACTAGGAGGTTAGGAACTATGAGATTATGGTGTTAAATGATGGCAGGAAATGGAAGAGAAGTGGACTGTGAGCCAGGTGCCCAAATTCCTGGGTGATGAGAAGCAACTGGATGGCATTAGCCTCCAAAGAAGAGTTTTAGCTTTCGAATGAAATGACATGAAGCTGGATGTGGCATTGGGGATCTAGAGAACACAGGTTCTGCCTTGAAGTCCGTATATGAAGAAGTGAAATGGGGGAGGAGATGAGGTGATGGGGAGAGAAGTGGAAGCGGGGAGATGGAGAAGAAGGGAGACAAAGGGTGAAGGGAGAAAAGGGAGAGGAAATGGGAGAGGGGAGGGAATGTAGAGGTGGAGAGAAGGATGAGAATAGATTCCGGGGATGAAGGATCAGTTTCCGATAGAAAAAGTTGCTAGGTCAATTTAGGAGAAAGGCACATTGACTAGTTAATGACATGAAAAAAACAACAACACCTTTTTAATTGAACCCTTTTTGCCGGGTGCCCTGTAGAAAGTTAGGATAGTTGTCAAAATGTGGATAAAAAGAGTTTCTACCTCATAAGTTTGTTGAAACACGAAAGGAGATCACGTTTAGCACAGTGCCTGGCAAATGAAAAACGTGTGTGTGTGTGTGTGTGTGTGTGTGTGTGTGTGTGTGTGTGTTTAGGGATCTGGGGAGGTCAAGCTGAGAAGGAAGGTGAGGTGAGCAAGGAGAAGTGACGTGAGAAGGCTCCTTTTAAGGCAGTTGCAAGGAGGGTGGGGGAGGAGGGTGAAGAAGGTGGACAGGGATAGGAGGAGCTTGCACTTGACTGGTTTCAGGTTCTGTGGTGAAGACAGGTATAAAATTGTTTGGCCACCAGGACAGTCAGGATGTCTCTTGGAACCATGTTGGCATGAGCAGCCTGAAGCCTGTTGAGCTGGTGCTGGGGCCAGCATCAGCATGGCCTCTAAATGCATCTTCTGGGCACAGTTGTACAATAACATCTTTTTAGAGCTGTCAAGAGCATTAGACAGCACCTAATGCAGCCCCTTTATTTGGCAGATGAGGCAACTGAGATCCAGAAACATTAAACAATTTGCTTGGAATCACCAGGCACATGCCAGGTGAAGACTTGGCATATGTTCAAGATGGCCTTGACATTCTGGCATCATGAGCATATTTTAGACACACTAAAAGACCCATGCTAACACGAATACCTACTTCATATGCTGCCATCAGTGGTCTTCACATGTCATATAAATTGTAAAATTATTCTTTTAATTGATTGAATTATTGAATTGAAATATGAACTAATTAGAATATTAACATATTTAAGGAATTGTAGAATCTCTTCAGTGCCTGATTAACTGTAAATAATAATTAGACAAGTTAGTGTAACGTGTCTGTATCCTGCATATGTAAAGAAATAGTTCTAAAAGACCATCTTGTGACAAAAAAGTAAAGAAGCTGTTTTTTCAAAAGCCTAAGTTTTAAATTTAAATAAGTGGTTTCTCCTTTTCCGTCAGCATCACCCCTGCCAATCCCACGTTGTTACCCACACTTGCCCCTGCCCTCTACTTCCACCAGGGGGCAGTGCTCACCTTCAAATGGATGTTGCTTAGGTCTGAACCTCCACTCCAGCCTGGGTCCCACACAACCTCAACTGGAAATTATTAAACTTCTGATAATAGCAATCTCAACATTGATCTTTCCAAAGTGCCAGAGCACAGTGAATATAAAGACTTCCTTACATTTATGTGGTACTTCACAGCTTCCAAAGGGATTTCTTGTATAATATCTCATTTGAACCTTACAATTAATCTGGGAATTAGGAAGAAAGGCTTCTTTCCTCTGATTGAAGATGAGGAAATGTATGTTTCTTGTAACAAGTTATGTTGTGTTTTTTTTTTAAAGATTTTATTGGGAAATTAGGGGAGGGGAACAGACAAGTTGCTGTCCTTTTGTTCTTCAGTCTAGTTGTGGAGGAGGTCGCTTCACTGGCCCATGTTGGTATTGTGATCATTGCGCTCTTCCCAGGTGAGGCAGTCACTCGCTGGCCATTGGACGGCTGCTCCCGGCAGCTCATGGCAGCTGACACCGGCTGCTGGTCTCTCACACTGGCTGCCAGCCACTCACGGTAGCTCATGGCAGCCCACTGCAGCAGGGGCTACAGCCTATGCTGTCACTGGCGACTCACGGCAGCCCAGCTCCAGGTGGAGCTGTTGTTCACCATCTTAGCTGTAGAGGGCGCAGCGTCACTGGCCCTCATGTGGGATCTGAACCGGGGC